TTCACGATGCGCAGCCTGGATACACACACAGCATACACACAGCCTATATACAGCATACACACAGCCTATATATATAGCATACACACAGCATACACACAGGGATCATACACACAGCATACACACAGCATTATATAGCATACACACATGTCATACACACAGGGATCATACACCATCATACACACAGCATATATAGATCATACACACAGCATACACACATATATACAGCATACACACAGCATACACAAACCATACAGTGAGGGAAAAAAGTATTTGATCCCCTGCTGATTTTGTACGTTTGCCCACTGACAAAGAAATCATCAGTCTATAATTTTAATGGTAGGTTTATTTGAACAGTGAGAGACAGAATACACAACAAAAATCCAGAAAAACGCATGTCAAAATGTTATAAATTGATTTGCATTTTAATAAGGGAAATAAGTATTTGACCCCTCTGCAAAACATGACTTAGTACTTCGTGGCAAAACCCTTGTTGCATCACAGAGGTCAGACGTTTCTTGTAGTTGGTCACCAGGTTTGCACACATCTCAGGAGGGATTTTGTCCCACTCCTCTTTGCAGATCTTCTCCAAGTCATTAAGGTTTCGAGGCTGACGTTTGGCACTTGAACCTTCAGCTCTCTCCACAGATTTTCTATGGGATTAAGGTCTGGACTGGTTAGGCCACTCCAGGACCTTAATGTGCTTCTTCTTGAGCCACTCCTTTGTTGCCTTGGCCGTGTTTTTTGGGTCATTCTCATGCTGGAATACCCATCCACGACCCATTTTCAATGACCTGGCTGAGGGAAGGAGGTTCTCACACAAGATTTGACGATACATGGCCCCGTCCATCGTCCCTTTGATGCGGTGAAGTCCTGTCCCCTTAGCAGAAAAAAACCCCCAAAGCATAATGTTTCCACCTCCATGTTTGACGGTGGGATGGTGTTCTTGGGTCATAGGCAGCATTCCTCCTCCTCCAAACACGGCGAGTTGAGTTGATGCCAAAGAGCTCCATTTTGGTCTCATCTGACCACAACACTTTCACCCAGTTGTCCTCTGAATCATTCAGATGTTCATTGGCAAACTTCAAACGGGCAGGTATATGTGCTTTCTTGAGCAGGGGACATTGCGGGCGCTGCAGGATTTCAGTCCTTCACGGCGTAGTGTGTTACCGATTGTTTTCTTGGTGACCCATGGTCCCAGCTGCCTTGAGATCATTGACAAGATCCTCCCGTGTAGTTCTGGGCTGATTCCTCACCGTTCTCATGAGCATTGCAACTCCACGAGATGAGATCTTGCATGGAGCCCCAGGCCGAGGAGATTGACAGTTTCTTTTGTGTTTATTTCATTTGCGAATAATCGCACCAACTGTTGTCACCTTCTCACCAAGCTGCTTGGCAATGGTCTTGTAGCCCATTCCAGCCTTGTGTAGGTCTACAATCTTGTCCCTGACATCCTTGGAGCTCTTTGGTCTTGGCCATGGTGGAGAGTTTGGAATTTGATTGATTGATTGCTTCTGTGGACAGGTGTCTTTTATACAGGTAACAAGCTGAGATTAGGAGCACTCCCTTTAAGAGTGTGCTCCTTATCTTAGTTCGTTACCTGTATAAAACACCTGGGAGCCAAAAATCTTTCTGATTGAGAGGGGGTCAAATACTTATTTCCCTCATTAAAATGCAAATCAATTTATAACATTTTTGACATGCGTTTTTCTGGATTTTGTTGTTATTCTGTCTCTCACTGTTCAAATAAACCTACCATTAAAATTATAGACTGATCATTTCTTTGTCAGTGGACAAACGTACAAAATCAGCAGGGGATCAAATACTTTTTTTCCCTCACTGTATGTACAGCAGACACACAGAATATACAGCATACACACATCATATATACAGCATACACACAGAATATATACAGCATACACACATCATATATGCAGCATACATTCAGCATACACACATCATATATGCAGCACACACAGGATACAAACACACAGTATACACACAGACAAAGCATACAACACAGTTCAGCATACATACAGAACACATACACATGCAGTACACCATACACACACTGCACACCATACATACACTGTACACCATATATACACCAGTACAGCATACACACACAGTACACCGTACCTACACAGCATACCATACACACAGTGCACCATGCACACACAGTACATCATACCTACACAGTACATCATACCTACACAGTTTTAACATACACGCACACATTAGCACCGCACTAATCACTCCACTCACCACTACCGGCAGGTCCTCACCACTCTCTCACCCTCCCACTGGCTGTGCTCACAAATGGCCGGTGCTCAACACTCACCACTGCTCACCGCTCGCCAATTGCTCGCGCTCACCAACTCACAACTTCTCGCCACTCTCACCACTTCCTCACCACCGCTCACCTTTGCTGTTACCGTCTGGCCCGCGCAGGATGGTGCACTCCTCGATGGAGCCGAACGCCTCAAACATCCTCCTCACCTCCTCCTCGGCCTGCTGCTTACTCAGCATGCCCACGAACAGCTTGCGGTCTACACACAGGCGACAGAGGTCCCACACCGCCCGCGCTGTTGGGGGGGGCCGAGTGAGCGCCCACTCAGCCAGGCCGGCCACGCAGCACCAGGCGGCGGCGGCGGCGGGGGGCTAAGGGTGGACAAACACCACGCCCGGCCGCCTTTGTCTCCCCGCCGCCGATGTTTTATTACACACCGCAGTGCTCGTTTGTTATGGCTGAGTCGAGCTTAAGGGAGGGAGGCCACTGGCAGGACCGGTTCAGATATTCGCCGCTGTTTTATTTGTCGTGAGCCGGGAGTCGAACTCGGGTCCGGGTTTGGGAGCGCGCGGCGCGCCGACCGCAGCACCACCGCTCCCCCGACGTTCACGCGGGCGCGTGTCCGTGCCCTGGGTGCCGAGTGGCCCAGCGGCGACCTCCAGTGGCGAACCTCGCCCCAGTTGACGCGCAGGGAGGGGGGGGCCCGGTCCACACATTCGCCCGACCCCAACACTCGACGTTGAGCATCCTTGGGCTCGTACACCTCATCACTCTCCACCCTCGCACCTCATCACGCCACCTCATCACACTCCCCTCCTCAAACTCCACCCACACACCTCCTTACACTCCACCCTCACACTCCACCCTCACACTGCATCACACTCCACCCACTCCCCTCCTCACACTCCACCCTTACACATCATCACACTCCCCTCCTCACACTCCACCCTTACACCTCACCACACTCCACCCTCCTCACACTCCCCTCCTCACACCTCATCACACTCCCCTCCTCAAACTCCACCCTCACACCTCCTCACACTCCACCCTCACACCTTCTCACACCTCCTCACCCTCACCACCTCAGCGCACCTCACCCTTCTCCTGAGGACCCTCATCTTCCTCATCTGACGCGGTTCCCCGATTTCCCGTTGCCATGGAAACGGCTCACTCCCGCTGCCTCCCGGCCCAGTTACCATGGCAACAGCACCGTTACCACGGTAACCAAACAAGCACAGCATCTGCTCCATTGCATAAGGAGGCGGGGCAAGGATACGCTCACCATTAATACTAAAACTCATCATTCACTGCTCACCAATACTCACACCATTCACTATCAACAATTACTGCTCACCAGTACTAAAACTCATCATTCACTTCACTAATACTCACCATTCACCACTCACCAACACTCACCAATACTCTCAACTCGCCACTCACCAACACTCACCAATACTCTCAATTCGCCACTCACCAACACTCACCAATACTCTCAACTCGCCACTCACCAACACTCACCAATACTCTCAACTCGCCACTCACCAACACTCACCAATGCTCTCTGCTCGCCTCTCACCAAGGCAGGGAGGGATAGGCGTGCAGTCCGCTCACCCCGTACCCTCATCCCCCGGGGCCCTCACCCCCATACCTCACTCATAAACCACAATTGACGAGTTCGTTATCATAAAGAGGTGCATTGAGGTGGGCGACGAGGTGAGTAAGGAGGTATGGGTGAGGCGAAATATATGAGGCGTGACGAGGTTGGACGAGGGGAGGAGGTGAGTGGGAAGGTGGGTGACGCGAGTTTGGTGAGTTGTGGTGAGACGGTGTGTGTCGCGGTGGGTGAATGGCGATGTGAGGAGGTGAGTGGTGAGGTGAGGGAATCGCACCTCCTCGGCTCTCGCTGTCTGCTGGCTTCACTTGGATGGGTCTGTTCATCTGCAAGGAGACGACAGTACGGGTCACGTGACACCTCGTCAACACGCCACCTCATCTTTCCACTACCACCACTCCCCCCACCACCACCACCACCTTATCTTACCACGTTATCACACCACCGCCCCTTTACACCACCTCCTCATCACACCTCACCACGCACCTCATCACACCACCTCATCATCATCAGACCAACTCATCACAACCCCATCATCACAGCTCACATCCAAGAGTGGTGAGGTGAATGCGGTGAGTGTGGTGAAGGTGTGGTTGTGTCTAAGTGGTTGCTGTGGTTGTGTTCGTGGTGTGGTTCTTGTGGTTGTTGTTTGGTTGTGTTAGTAGTTGTTGTTACTCGTGTGGTTGTTATTGTGGTTCTGTAGTGGTGTGGTGGTTATGTTAGCGGTTGTGTTATAGGTGCGGTTGTGTTAGTGGTGTGGTTTTGGTTGTTCGTGGTGGTTGTTGTTGTGGTTGCGGCTCGCGTCCATGTGATTATAAATCCCGATCAGCGCGTGGCTCCTTAATCCGCGGGGGGGGGGGGGGATTAAACCACGGCTCTGGTGGATATGAATCCATCTCCCTCACCTCACCATCCCTCACCTCACCACCCCTCACCTCACCACCCCTCACCCCACTACACCTCACCCCACCACCCCTCACCCCACCATCCCTCACTCCACCACCCCTCACCACACCTCACCTCACCATCCCTCACTCCACCACCCCTCACCTCACCATCCCTCACTCCATCACCCTTCACCCCCACTCCCCACCCTCAATCCACCACCCCTCACTCCACCATCCCTCACCACACCATCCATCACTCCCCATCCTTCACCGCCCACCCCTCACTCCACCACCCCTCACTCCACCACCCCTCATTCCACCACCCCTCACTCCACCACCCATCACCCCACCATCCCTCACCACACCATCCCTCACCCCACCATCCCTCACCACACCATCCATCACTCACCATCCTTCACCCCCCACCCTTACACTCCTCACTGACCCCTCCATCCCCAACCCCCTGTTTCTCATCTCCCTCCAACTCCTCCCATGTCTCCCAATTCTCCCTCTTCTGCTATCTCTGCATCTTCCCCTTCTCCCCTCTCTGTCTCTCTCCCTCCGAAGAACCCCACCGCACAACCCGCCCCCTGAGGCTGTAATGACCCTGAATTGACTTAGAATGAGGCGCGACTGGTTTACCCCACTACCCCCCACCGCGTTAACCTCACCACCCCCCTCACCACAGCTAACCACACCACTCCCTCACCACGCTAATTACACTACACCCCCACACCACGCTAACCACACCACTCCCTCACCACGCTAACTACACCACACTCCTTCACCACACTAACCACATTACCTCACTGCGCTTACAACACCACTCTCTCACCATACTAACTACACCAGACTCCCTCAACCACGCTTACCACACACACTCCCTCCCCGCACCTTTCACCACATTGAGCGCACCACTCCCTCACCACGCTAATTACACTACACCCCCACACCACGCTAACCACACCACTCCCTCACCACGCCAACTACACCACACTCACCACGTTTACCACAACACACTCCTTCACCACACTAACCACATTACCTCACTACGCTTACATCACCACTCTCTCACGATACTAACTACAACAGACTCCCTCAACCACGCTTACCATACACACTCCCTCACCACACCGCCTCACCACATTGAGCGCACCACTCCCTCGCCACGCTAACCACACCACACTTCCTCACCAGGCTTACCACACCACACTCCCTCCCTCACTACACTACGCACACCCCCTCAACACGCTAACCACACCACACTCCCTCACCACGCTTACCACACACACTCCCTCACCACGCTTACCACACCACACTCCCTCACCACGCTAACCACACCACACTCCCTCACCACGCTTACCACACTACACTCCCTCACCACGCTTACCACACTACACTCCCTCACCACGCTAACCACACACACTCCCTCACCACGCTTACCACACACACTTCCTCACCACACCGCCTCACCACACTGACCAAACGGCCCCTCTCACCACGCTAACCACTTACACCTCACCCGCCTTCTACCCCTCGCTCCGCTAGCCCCCCCACGTTCACCCCCCCCGTTCACCCCCCCCGTTCACCCCCCCGTTCACCCCCCCCCCCGTTCACCCCCCCGTTCACCCCCCCCCCGTTCACCCCCCCCGTTCACCCCCACCCCCCGTTCACCCGCCCCCGTTTCCCCACCCCCCGTCCCCTCCTCCATCTCTCATCCTCCCCCTCCCCTCTTAATTTGCTTCTCTCCGCCCCGCAGCGCCCCCATGATCCCCCCCCCCCCCCACCCGGTTTCCATGGCGACAGTCGTGCGCGTACACGTGACCGCGCAAGGCAATGAGCGGGGTGTAGCGAGGGGGGAGGAGAGTGAGGGGATGGGCCCCCCTGCACCCCCCTTCACTCCCACTAGCCCCGCCACTCGCCCACTCCCCTCCCCCTGCACTGCGCATGCGCAGACTGCTCATGTAGAGTTCGCATCGCAGCCTCGGCCGTGGGAACGTGGAATCGCGTGGGGAGCGGAGGGGGGTGAGGGCGGGGTGGGGGGTCACGTGACGCCCCAGGTTATTTTTTATCTGGAGGCGCCACCGCGGCTGCCGAGACAACACAGCAGTCTCCATAGCAACCGTACCCGCTATCGCCATGGCAACCACAGCGCGCTGCCATGGCAACGGCGGGAGACGTTGCCGTGGCGACGGCGTGCAGTGGGCCGGCACATCAGCCATCACGACACCCCCCCCGCCCCAATCCACACTCATTGCTACACCTATCACAACACCCATCACAACACCCCATCACTACAGACATGACTACAGCCATCACAACACACACATCACCCATCAACGTCCAATCACTACCGCCATCACGCTGCACCCCGTGACTCGCCCCTGCAAGCTGTTTTTCTGTTGCCGTGAGACCCGGCCGCCGTCACATCCAATCAGTCCACAGGCACACTCACCCTTCACTCCCGCACCCTCACCCGCCCACCTGCACTCCTCACCCCGCTCCCTCAACCCCCTCATCCCAATCTCTCAGCCCTCCCCCATTCCCCCATCCCTCCACCCGCACCTTCACCCAGAACCCCGTATGTACACGTGTGTGTGTGCACGTGTTGATGTGTACACACGCGTGATTGTGTGTACACGTGTGTGTGTGTGTGCACCCGTGTTGATGTGTACACACGCGTGTATGTGTGTACACGTGTGAACCTGTGCGTGTACACGTTTGAGCCTGTGCGTGTATACGTGTGAACCTGCGTGTATACACGTGTGTGTACACATGTGAGTATTTGTGCGCGTATACGTGTGAGCCTGCGTGTATACACGCGTGTACACATACGTGTACATGCGCAGGTGCACGCGCAGAGTCACGCGTGTACACGTGTGTGTACACGTGTGAGCAGCTTGTGAGTGTACTCGTGTGAGCCTGCGCGTGTACACGTGTGAGCTTGTGTGTGTACACGTGAGCCCGTGTGTATGCACGTGTGAACCTGTGTGTGTACACGTGTGTGCCTGTCTGTGTGTGCATACACGTGTAGAGAGAGTAGGTTTCTCCATCGCGTAATACTTGTAACTCTGGATCACGGAGAGAGCGGAAGGGATTGGAGCTCGAGGTTGGGGTTAGGGGTTAGGTGATAGGGTTTGGGGTCGTGGTTAGATTCAAGGCTGGGTTTGGGTCTTGGTGAGAGTTCGGGCTTGGCTTTGGGTTATGATGATGGTATGGCGGTCAGGGTTAACGTCAGATGTGTCTTGCTTTTTATTGGATCTAGTGGGGTTATGGTATTGGGTTGGCGTTAGGGTTAGGGCGAGGTTTTGGGCTGGGGGTGTGGGTAGGAGGTAGTGAGCCACGTGAACACACGCACACACAATCACACACAAAGATCCCCCGTATAGCCTTCACGTACTTTTACGACAAGTGCTGTTAGCGAGGACCTCCGAAGGCCGGCACGGAACACGAGGGGATGGGTGGCCAACACCACACCCGACCGCCTTTGTCTCCCCAGTGCTGATGTTTACACACCGCACTCGGTACTCATCTGAGTCGACCTAGGGGAGGCTCAGGACCGGTTCAGATAATCGTCACTAGTGTGGACCGTGATCGGGAATCGAACTCGGGTGAGTGGCTGTGTTCGTGACGCAGCGCAGCGCTAAGCCGCTCCCCACACACAAAGACAAATCCCCCGTATAGCCTGTACAGACTGTTGGGGCAAGTGGCGAGCACATCGGGCAAGGGGGTGTATGTCCAGCACCACACCCGACCGCCTTTGTCTCCCGAGTGGCGATGTACTCACGTGCCCGTGTTGTTTGCGAGCGCTATTGTCGTGCGGCCACAATCAGTGAATGTGTGGGGAGCGGTAGTGTAGAGGTTCGTGCGCTGCGATACGAACCCGGCGACTCGTATTCGATTCCCGCTCATGACAAATAACAGTAGCGAATATTTGAACTGGTCCTGGGCATCCTCTAGATCGACTCAGCCGCAAATTAATACCTGGTACGGCGTGTAAACATCAGCACTTGGGAGACAAAGGCGGCCAGGCGTAGTGTTGGCCACCTACCGCCTCGTGTTCCGTGCCGACCTTCATCGGTACTCGCTAACAGCCCTTGCCTCAATAGTCTGTGAAGGTTATACGGGAGATCTTTGGCTGTATGTTTGGGGTTGGTCACACACACGACCTTAACAGATGCTCACTGGGAGAACCCCCCTCTCCCCCCACCGACGGCCTTTCCACATCTCGCCGATTGCTCAACGGCTACGAATATTGATGTAACTATTCATATAGTTAAAACTGTTCATTAGCAAACATTAAATGAAGGTACAGAGCACAGCCGTCGACTCTTAATCACTATGTCTGTGGCCTCTCTATGTACGATGAGGAAGGGACATTTCCCGAAACGTCGCTTATATTTTTTTCCTTTCAAGGCCACACACAAAAGTGTTACTTACTAGTTCTTGTTGTTGTTGTTGTTGTTTGTTCATTGTGCACCACTGCAAACGCAGCAGTAGCAGCATCATCAGGTAATGTGTAGCCTGTGTCTGTGTGTTTATCTCAATGTAAAAATATACCATACGTGTATGCCTGTGTGAGTGTGTGAGGGTGTGTGTGAGCGTGTGTGAATGTGTGTGAGTGTGTGAGAGTGTGTGGGTGTGTGAGTGTGTGTGAGTGTGTGAGTGTGTGAGTATGTGTGAGTGTGTGTACCTGCGGTGGCGAGCGGTGGGGTAGTGGTGAGCGCATTGGACTACGAAACTGGTTACCCGGGTTCGATTCCCGCTCTCGTCTACCAACTGTGGCGAATATCTGAATCGGTCCCGGGCCTCCCCTAGGTAGACTCAGCCTCAAATGAGTACCTGGTACGGTGTGTAAACATTGCCACTAGGGAGACAAAGGCGGTCGGGCGTGGTGCTGGCCACCCACCCCCTCGTGTACCGTTCCGGCCTTCATAGGTGCTCGCTAACAGCACTTGCCCCTACAGTCTGTTAAGGCTATATGGGGGATCTTTGTCTTTTTGTGTGGGTGTGAGTGTGTGGGTGTGAGTGTGTGGGTGTGAGTGTGTGAGTGTGTGTGAGTGTGTGAGTATGTGTGTGTGTGTACATGCGGTGGCGAGCGGTGGGGTAGTGGTAAGCGCACTGGACTACGAAACTGGTTACCCGGGTTCGATTCCCGCTCTCGTCTACCAACTGTGGCGAATATCTGAATCGGTCCTGGGTCTCCTCTAGGTCGACTCAGCCTTAAACGAATACCTGGTGCGGTGTGTAAACATCGCCACTGGGGAGACAAAGGCGGTCGGGCGTGGTGCTGGCCGCACACTCCCTCGTGTACCGTTCCAGCACTTGCCCCTACAGTCTGTTAAGGCTATAAGGGGGATCTTTTTGTGTTTGTGTGTGTACGTGTTTGCATGGAGAGGGGTGCCGTCGTGGTCAGCGCACTGCGAGTTGGCGATTCCCGCTCACGCCGTTAACAGTGGCAAATATTTGAACGGTCCTAGGCCTCCCCTAGGTCGACTCAGCCTTAAATGAATACCTGGTGTGGTGGGTAAACATCAGTCACTGGGGAGAGACAAAGGCGGCGGGGGTGCTGCTTGCCGACTGCTCACCCACCCCCTCGTGTGCCGTGCAGGCCTTCGTAGGCGCTCGCTAACAGCACTTGCCGCGAGAGTCTGCGCAAGGCTACCCGGGGGATATTTATCTGTGTATGTGCGCGTGTTTCCGTGTGCACGTATCTAATAGCTATAGACGATCAGCGCTAATTGAATTATGTAAATTTTAATGATGTTCTAGAATGGCTAGAGAGGCACTATTTGGCACGAATATACTCGGGTCTGTGCGGCTGATTGGGTTAACTCGCAGTGCCGCTCGGGCTAGAGGGGCAGCACATTCCTCCGCGTCTCGCAGTAAACACAACTACACCATCCCTGGAGCCGATACGTGACTGGCAACCATTGTCGTAGCGAGAGGGATACTGTGTGTGGTGTGCCGGGTGGGCGGAAACACGTTTCCGCTCGTCGAGCATCCCCCCAGACGGTCCCCGCTGAAACGAATCCCTGCCCCGCATCATCAGTGAACCCAAGTAAATCGCCTTCCATGGAGCAGTACTCGTGTTTGTGTGTGTGCCTCTGTGTGTCAGTGTGTGTCTCTCTGTATGCATTTATTATGGCGAGCGGTGGCGTAGTGGTTGGCGCACTGCGCTACGAACCCGGCGAACCGAGTCCGATTCCCCGTGCATGGCCAACATCGCTGATAAATATCTGAACCAGTCTTGGGCCTCTCTTAAGTCGGCTCAGCCTTAAATGAGTGCCTGGTCCGGTGTGTACACATCCACCACTGGGAATAAGAAAGCGGCCGCCCGTGTTGTTGGCCACCCACCACCTCGTGTGCCGTTGTGGCCTTCATAGTTGCTCGCTCAAAGCAATTGCCCCAACAGTCCCTTAAGGCTATACGGATGACCTTTGTTTGTATTCAAATCTGTGTGTGCATATCTGTGTAGGGATATATTTATTATGTGTTTATTTATGTAGATTTGTGTAAATATGGTTATGTCTGTGTGTGTATTTGTATGTATGTCTAGGTTTTGTGTGTCTATATGTTATGTATATGTGTGTACGTCTCTGTGAATGTATATTGGTATATTTCGGTATGTATGTGTGTATTTGTGAGATTACTCATATATATTCATCCACGTGTATGACTGTGTATATATGTGCATCTGCGCTTGTGTTTATGTATGTCAGTGTATGCATGTGTACTGTATATGGGTATGTATGTGCGCTTATATGTATGTACAGTATCTGTTTGGGGAGCGGTGGCGCAATGGTTAGCGCACAGTTTTTCTAATCCAGCGACCACTAGTTCGATTCCCGCTCACAGCCAACATCAGTGACGACTATTTAAACACCGATCCTGGATTTTCTCAAGGTCAATGCAGCCCTAAATGACTACTTGGTGTGGTGTGTAAACATCACCACTGTGGGAGACAAAGGCAGCCGGGCGTAATGCCTGACACACCACTACCACCGCGTGTGCCATGCCGGTCGTCATAGGTGCTGCTCGCTAACAGCACTCATCCAAAATACTGTTAAGTCTATAAGGGGGATCTTTGTAAACACGCGTGGTCGTGTACACGTGGGGAGCGGTCGTGTAGCGGTTAGCGTGCTGCGTTACGACCCCAGTAACCCGAATTCGATTTCTGCTCACGGCCACCAATACCAGTGACGCTTATCTGAACCAGTCTTAGGCCCTCCCCTAGATCGACTCAGCCTCAAATGAGTAGCCGGTGCGACGTGTAGTAAAGTATCACCACTAGAGAGTGACGAAGACGGCCGGGGGTGGTGCTGGCTACCAAAACCCCCTTGTGTGCCGTGCCTTCATGGGTGCGAGATTATTTTCATTATTTTTCTGCTATAAATTTCTACACGATAAGCCAGTTTCATGAGCTATCATCTATGGCCAGGTCCCTTCTGAAAAACAAGTTAATACCGCAATGGGCTGATCTGGTAAGGTCAACAATAGTTTAGTTTTATTTGTCTATATTTGTAGGTGTTTTGTTTACCTTCCTTAGACTTTGAACTCGTGTCGTGTTTTTGCATTGTTTGTTGTTTTTAACGTGCTGACCCGCCCCTACTGGACATCTGTGCACAAGAGCTTTATAGCTCATCGGATTCCTCCTGCAGCATGAATAAATATTCGGATTCTGTTACAAGCGTGTGCGCGAGGGAGAGAGTGTCTTCTTCTCACCCCCGGCAGCGTCTCTTGTTCGTGGCAGGGCGCTCTGAGCCTTGAGAGCCGAGTCCCGTGCGCAGTACGTGAGGAAGGCGCAGCCTTGCACTCGCACACGGACGAGGAGGGGGTGACGAGGTTGGCCCTGACGAAGCGGCTGGCAGTGTTGTGGACGAGTGACGACCTTTGACGGATGATGAGATTATGATTAGGTTGACGGTGACGATGGATGGTGACGGCGGCGGCTAGCGGACGATGGCAGCGGCGAGGAGGTTACAGTGTGTCCCACCACGCACGCACGCACCTCGTCACACCCGTCACACCTCGTCGTCGTCACACCACCGAAAAATGCGCGCCGCTCGGCGAATCCCTCCCCCCCCAACGGCTTCCACGAGGGGCATGGAAGGGGTGGGGGGTATAATGCAAACAAGGCACGGGGGGCACGTGGGGGGGGCATGTGGTGGAGGGGAAAGAGGCCACGCGGCGGCGAAGAAGCGCTAAGGCGAGAGGCGCTTGTCTACTTCAGCACCAACCACGGGGCTCGGGGCGCTGTCCAAATTCAGCACCACGGCCACCATCGCCACCACCCCCGCCTCCTCGCGCCCCCCCGCGCCTCGCTCCCTCGCCCACGCTGCCTGTTATCGCGCCGCCGGCTACTGTTGCTGCTGTTGTTGACACTGCTGCTGCTGTTGCTAACTGCTGCCGCCATCGCGACGCAAGAAGCCGAGAGGAGGCAGCAGCGCTCGGGTTCGTTGAGCGCGGACGCGCGTGCTTTGTTCGACGAGGGAGCGCGGTGCGAGTGAGGCGAGTGAGGCGCCCTCTCCCTCCTCCTCGTCCTCCTCACCTTTGTGCATGCCCGTGAAGCGGTCCTTGAGAAACGGTGATCTCGTAGATCTTGCCGAACTCCCTCGAAGAGCGGCTTCAGGTCTTTCTCCTCTAGGTTGCGCGGGATTTGGCCGATGAAGAGTTTGATGGCGTCCTGGTCTTTCATGGGGATCGTGTTGTGCCCGTGGCTCAGGCCGTTGACGGAGCCGTGTCCGCTGCCGATGCTGCTGCTGCTGCTGCCGCCGCTGCTGCTGATGCCGGCCGCCGCCGTTGTTGACACCGCCGTTGTCCGTGCCCAGCCCGTTGCTCAGCGAGGCCATCTTTGCTCCGCCGCCCCTTTCGCTCTCGGCGGGCAGCGGCGGCGGCGGGTGACGTCAGGCGCCGTGGCGGGGAGACGTCACGCGTCGCGTGCGAGAGAGGGAGGGAGGGAGAGCGAGGGAGAGCGATGGGAGAGCAAGAGAGGGAGGGAAGGAGAAAGGGGTGGAGGGGGGCGTGTGGGGAGATTGTAGGGGGAGAAGCAGGAAAGGGGAAGGGAGAGCGAGCAAGGGATAGCGTGGGGGGGGGGGGGCAAGAGAAATGGGGGGCAGGGACAGCGAGAGCGCGGGGGAACAGCAGGAGGAGAGAGAGAAGAGCGAGAGGGCGCAGGGGAGAGAAAGAGAATGCGAGGGGAGAGAAGAGGAGAGCGAGTGGGGGAGCGCAGGGTAGAGAAGGAAAGAGCACGGGGGAGAAAAGGGGAGTGCGAAAGAGTGCGAGGGAGAGTGGTGGGAGGAAGGGGAGAGCGAGAGAGAGTGCGGGAGAGAGAAGGAGGATAGAGCGAGAGCGCGGGGAAGGAGGATCACTGGAAAGAGAGAGGGGAGCTAAAGAGGAGGGGAAATAGGGGCGGGGGGGTTGGGTAATGAGGGCAGACGAAGCGATAGAGAGGGGGGAGAGAGATCGGAGAAAAAGGAGAGGATAGCGGAGGGGTGAGGGCGGAGAAAGCGTGGAGAGAAAGAGAGAGTGGAGGAGGGGGAGTAGGGAAGGGGTGGGGAAAGGGCAGGGAGGGTGTGGGGGGGAAGGAGGGGGATATGAGAGGAGCGCGCTGTATAAACGCGTGTGTGGGCAGGAGGAGAGGAGTGAGATGAGACGGTGAGGTGAGAGCGGAGAGCCACAGGGCCGTGAGGGAGACCTGAGCCGGAGGAAGGGGTGAGCCGAGTCAGAAAAACAGAGACGCGGGGAAACAGGGAGATACAAAGGGGGGGGGGGTAAGGGAATCATGGAGGCAAACAGCGAGACAGGGATGGGAGGCAGAGAGACAGACGGGCAAACACAGGGACAGAGGGAGACACAGAGACAGGGATGGCGAGAAGGGAGGGAGGGCAAGGAGGCAGTCTGTGTGATTTGCGTGATTTGTTGGGGGTTTTCGGGACGATACGAAGTGTGGAGTCGGTAGGGATGACGTTGGGGTTCGGGATAATGAAGGGATTAGTTTTAGCGTTTAGCAGTAGGGATAGCGCTCGAGGTAGGGGTAGTGTCGGATCAGGGGTAGGATTAGTGATGGCTGTAGTGTTGGGATTAAAGAGGGCAGAGTAATTTCCTGCTAAAATGAGCAATGAAGGCGGTGTTCGTCTGTATACAAACCTGGGCCAGTGGTGGACATTCCATATTCACATGGCGAGGGCGAATCTCTTCCACAGGACAATCACTTTTGACATCGACCCCCGAAGGACGACCCTCAACTGGGATATGAACTCCTGATTGTGTAACCTCGCCCTGCCGCTCACCCCCCTCGGTCGGAGTATTCGTGGTAATGGTGTGGGTAAGGGTAGGGATAGTGTGAGTGCAGAGTTAGTGTTAGTGTAGGGTTAGTGTTAGTGGTTAGGGTTAGTACTCTGTATAATGTTAGTGTAGGGTTAGTGTTAGTGTAGGGTTAGTGTTAGTGGTTCGGGTTAGTACTCTGTGTAGTGTTAGTGTGAGTGCAGGGTTAGTGTTAGTGTAGGATTAGTGTTAGTGTAGGGTTAGTGGTCGGGGCAGTGTTAGGGATAGACGCAGTGTTAGTGGTTAGGGTTAGTACTGTGTAGTATTAGTGTGAGTGCAGGGTTACTGTTAGTGTAGGATTAGTGTTAGTGTAGGGTTAGTGGTCGGGGCAGTGTTAGGGATAGACGTAGTGTTAGTGGTTAGTACTCTGTATAGTGTTAGTGTGAGTGCAGGGTTAGTGTTAGTGTAGGATTAGTGTTAGTGTAGGGTTAGTGGTGGGGGCAGTGTTAGGGATAGACGTAGTGTTAGTGGTTAGTACTCTGTATAGTGTTAGTGTGAGTGCAGGGTTAGTGTTAGTGTAGGATTAGTGTTAGTCTAGGGTTAGTGGTGGGGGCAGTGTTAGGGATAGACGTAGTGTTAGTGGTTAGGGTTAGTACTCTGTATAGTGTTAGTGTGAGTGCAGGGTTAGTGTAAGTGTAGGATTAGTGTTAGTGTAGGGTTAGTGGTGGGGGCAGTGTTAGGGATAGACGTAGTGTTAGTGGTTAGGGTTAGTACTCTGTATAGTGTTAGTGTGAGTGCAGGGTTAGTGTAGGGTTAGTGGTGGGGGCAGTGTTAGGGATAGACATAGTGTCTAGTGGTTAGGGTTAGTACTCTGTATAGTTAGTGTGAGTGCAGGGTTAGTGTTAGTGTAGGATTAGTGTTAGTGTAGGGTTAGTGTTAGTGGTTAGGGTTAGTACTCTGTATAGTGTTAGGGATAATGTGAGTGCAGGGTTAGTGGTTAAGGTTAGTGTTAGAGGTCGGAGCAGTGTTTGGGATGGGAGGAGTGTTCATGGTTAGGGTTAGTATTCTGAAAAGTGCCATGGATAGTGTTAGCGGAGGGATAGTGTTAGTAGTAGAGGTAGGGGAGTGTGACGGATAGTATTAGTGCAGGGTTCGTGGTTAAGGGTAGTGTTAGGTGTAGGGGCAGTAGTTAGGGTTAGCAGTAGTGTTTGTGGGAAGGTGTAATGGAAGTGGCAGTGTTAGGAGCCATGTTGTTATATGCGGGGTTGGTGAGGGTGTTCGTGCAGTATGAGTGTCTGTGTCTGCATTTGTTATCGGCCAGAACTCCTCCTCAACCCACGCTCCTCCGCCCCCTCTCTGGGGGGCGGGGGAGTGGAGGGAGCTGCCGAGCGGCCGGGCTGGCGGGAGCGACCGGACTGGAATCAACAAAGCCATTGGACTGGAGTGACTAGCCTGGAGTTACTTGATACAATGGTCGGCACTTTATCTGGGCTGGACTTTGGACTGGATTGTTTATGATCTGGATTGATTGGACTCGACTTTATCTGGACTGGGGTAAAATGGACTAGACTTTATCTGGACAAGGAGTATCTGTATTGGACTCCAGCTGGACTAAAAAAACACTGGACTGGACTCCACGCTGATTTGTTCCAGCTCCGGTGCTTTGCTCGAGCGCGGTCACTCGGAGCCGAGACGAGGCGCGACTCTTTTTGCGATCACGATGAGCGCCAGTGACGTCACCGCAGACACGATAATTAACGAGGTGTATGATTGTAATGACGCGATCGATGACGCTGTTATCAATAAATCAATGATTGTGATTGCGTTGCCATGTAATTCTTCACGTGGCGGGGGTTATTGTGATTAATTAGGTAACTGATAACCAGGTATAGCTGATGTGAGCAATGAGGCTATTGATGATGTTATGATATATTAAGGATGTGATAATGAGCTAATTGGTTCATTAGCAAATAGATCACGGTTGAGTGGTTGTAAATGTGATAGATTAAGCGATCGTTAATTGTAAAACAACCCCAGTTATATCAATTACAACCTGATGATGATGGTGGTGGTTGTGTGATAAGGATGTGAATGATGATGGTGGTGATGGTTATGACAATTGTGGTGACGGTAATCTACATCAGCCGACGCTTCCCGTAAACCACGTGACTTGTGTGTAGCCACCCCCACTCTGAATCCCTCCCCTATCCCCGCCCCCTGTGAAAAGCCGCTGCTCCGTGCAGCTCACTTCTGCTCGCTCCTTCCTTCTCTCACTCTCTTCCCTCCCCTCTCATCCTCGACATCTTGGCCCGGCCATTCCTTCTCCCCCCCCCTCCTTTCTTCCCGCCGCTCATCTTGAGCCGTGCCCTCTTTGTCTCTCTTGGAGGACTTCCGTCCCGGAATCCTTTTGTCCTTTCCCGCTCACCCAGGAAAGCCTCGCCGAGTACTCCGGACTCTTCTCCAGGAGGGTCTTGACAAGTTTTCGTAGTAGGATGCGACGTTGCTGCTGCTGCGTGTGATCATGACTGAGTGATTTACAGGGAGTTGTACCAGCAATGGGATGTTTTGGTCAATAGCAGTTAAGTGTTTGTATTTTTTTGTAGCAATGGGAGGAAGTCGGAGAACGCGGAGGAAATCCAGACAAATCGGGGGGGGAGGAGTACAAACTCCACGCAGAAAGGCGCCCGAGTCGGGAATCAAACCTCGGTTCTTGTTGTTGCGTGGCGCAAGGATTACCACCGCGCAAGTGGAGGCGAGGAGTGGAGAGCGGTGGAGAAAGAGGTGGAGGGGAGGAGGGGCAGGGCCATGTGGAGGCGATTTGGAGATTGCCCGACCCAGCGACACGCTGCTTTGGAGGGATGATTGTTCATCATCACATTTATAGTGATGCTCAGCAGTGTTGGTGATATTGGTGATGTTCATGAGTGTGGTGATATCGGTGATGACGCCGAGCAGGGTGATGGTGATATCGGTGATGCTCACGAGAACGGTGATGGCAGTGTAGATGCCACTCCGTGTGGTGATGATGGTGTTGGTGATGATGCTAATGAATGTGGTGCCCACGGTTGTGGTGAGTGATGCCGATTGTGGCCATGGTGATGGCAGTGATTGTAGTGAGTCGTGGCGATGCTGTTGTGATCACGAGGCGTGTACTCGCGGGTAGGCGCCCCGCCCCCTCCCCCAGCCCCGCCCCTCCCCCAGCCCCGCCCCCTACACACTACCCCGTTTGGCACTGGCGCCATTCTCATGTTAATAACTCAAACTCAACACGTTCGTCCACAATCGCCCTGCTGTGGCCTTAAAAAGGAAAAAAATATATATATAATGGGCAACGTTTCGGGCAACGGCCCTTCTTCATCGGACATAAACAATCGGAGATTAACCTTCTACCGATGTGCGGGCGAGGAGAGAGGGGCGGGGGAGAACGGGGTGGGGGAGCAGGGTAGGAGGGGGAGGAGAGGGGGAGGAGAGGGGGAGGAGAGGGGAGGGTGCGCACTGGGGAGGGGCTTCTCTCTTCGTCGAACACGTGTCCTATCAGGGGTCTCACCTAGACCAACCTCGCCCCCACTCTTCACAAGACCCCCACCTCAGTATCCCCTTCACCACGCAGTGCCTCTAACCCCCACATCCCCCCCCCATTCCAGTGCCCCCGCCCCACAAGCCGCTACAGTCGTGAACACGAGTCACGTGACGGGCTTGAGACCCCCCCCCCCAACCCCAACGCCCAGTGTTTGCGAGCGCCGATTCGTTTAACGTCGAAGCCGACCTAGCGGGAGGGTCCCCGGCGGCACCACGATGGGAGCTGTCGCTCGCGCGGCGATAGCGATTTTTATTGTCTGCAGAGTGACCAACCACGGATACAGCATCAGCATCAGCAGCAGAGCAGTCGCCATCCTCTCACACCATCGCAATCAGAACGAGCAGGGGTCATGTGGCGCCGCGACGTGGGCACGAAAACAAAGAGGGGGTGGTGGGGAGCGAGTGGCGGGGCTGAAAGCCTCCCCTCCCGCTCCATCCCCCTCTCCTTGACCAACTCCCCCCACACACCACCCTCAAAAGAAAAATAAAATACACCGGACGCAACTCATAGTGCAAATCGCTGACGCAGCAGCATCATCATGCAAAGTCAGACACAAATAAATAAATAAATAGCGCTAATTATCAATTAAAAAGAGCCACGTGGCCTCGAAAAAGTGACACTGAAATGTGGGGCGGACCGAATAGTGGGGGAGGGGGGACGGCCCCCAAACTCCCCGCCCCCCTCAGACCCAACCCCACCCCCCTTCCTCTCCCAGAACCCCCACCACCCAGAGAGGGCCCTGGTCCCACTTACCGCATGGTCATTGTAACCATCCCAGCCACTTTAAATCCACCAATGGATTAAAGGCGTCCCCATACCATAGTCGGTCATGTGGATTTTGTTAAGAGCCGTACTTCACCACTCTGGCCAGTGCGAGTTGGCAAGCACCGATTTTTGATATCCCTCGCCACTGATGTTAGCCGTGGTGACCGCAAACTCAGCCCCGCCTGGCTCACACGGCGCAGTGCCCTAACCGCTGCGCCACCGCTCCGCATGCCCCCGTGGGTAACGCGGAATCCTATCGCTCGCCTGTGACCTGAGCTTGTCAGGCTGAGCGGGGTTTCAGCCCGCTTGGCGCTTGGGTGGGAGACGGCCCTGGCAATACCAGGTGTTATAGGCGAGGCGTGCAATGAATGGAGCTAGATGGCAGCTCCGCTGGAGTCAGTGGCGGTAAACCGTGTTCATATTTGTATGAAATCAAAATTTTCACTGGGTGAATCTCATTGGCATTTGCTTCATAGGGCGTCCTATGAGATGCCTGGAGTTTAGGGTGAACTTGGGGGAGGTCCTGAAAGGTGAGGGTCTTGGGGGGGGGGAGGGGTCGTGGGGGAAGCGAGCAATGCCTCCATCACCAGCGGGAGAGAGTTTTAAAATTCTAGAATCCAGTAGCCTGGCTTGGAGCAGGCACGGGATTATGTCAACCGGGCACCAAGCCTCATCCTCAACATCACTATTATCATCATAATTACCACTGCCATCAACATTATGATCGTCACTCTCAACATCGCCATTATCAATACCATCGCTATCAGCTAAAATGTAACCATCACCACCATCGTGAATAATCGTATTCCTTGCCATCATTATCTGCAGCAAGCAGCTTCAGAAATCATCATCACCACTATCACCACCATTATTCTCACCATCATCACAACACCAGCAGGTTTATCAACATTACCATCACCAACATCCTCAATATCACCATCATGAGCAATTTCATCCCACAGGCTTCATAACAACAGCAGCACCTTCACCATCAGCACCACCACCATCCTCATCATCAGTATCATCAGCAGCCTCACCATAATCGTCAGTTTTAATGTCTAGAGCGAGTGAGGGAGCACAAGACATAGGCACTAGCACATCACCATCTACATCACCATATCACCAGTGACGGCAGCTCCCTCACCCACCATCAAAACCACCAACTTAATTGCCATCCTCATCTTCGACTCTCATCAATAGATTACCATAATGAACAGGTGTATCATCATCGCCAGCTTCACCACTATGTGAGCGTAATCATCATTACCATCGCCACCTACCACCATCATCAATCGCTTCATCACCATCACTATCATCACCATCTATATAATCACCATCACCACCCATCAAGCGGAACACCCAATACCAGCATTATGCACCCCACTGTGGTGGTGGTGGTTGGTAGGAGTTTTGGTATTTATTGTGCTGGTGGCATAGCTGTTGGCAGTTGTGGTGCTGGTGTTGAGTGCAGTGGTTGTGTTGATGCGAGGGACTGGTGGTGGCTGAGATGGTGGTTATTGTGATATCAGTGCTTGTGGTATTTGGTCTTATTGGTGTTGGTATTGATCGCGGGCGGTTGTGCTGGTATTGGTGATGGTATTGATCGGTGCCGGTTGTGTCTGTGTATTGGTAGCGGTGGTAGTAGTAGTTTAGGTGCCGCCCCTACCGCAAGTTACACGTGGCGGTGGAGGACACGAGCTGGCAACAGCAGTGTCGTGGTGGTGGTAGTGCTGTTAGTATTAGGACAGGTCGTTGTAGTGGTGGTGGTGGTTGTGGTATTGATGGTGGTGGTGGTGTGGTATTGATGGTGGTGGTGGTTGCGTCCCAAGCCCTACTGCAACATTGCACGTGGTGGAGGGAGACGCGAGCTGGCAGCAGACGCACGCGGGGCTCATGGTTTGGGGGGGATGAGGTCCCAGGTCCTCGTCGTCTGGGACCTCGTCCAGGCGGTACCCGTCCTTCAGCAGCTGCCGGTTCAGGTCCTGGTTGATTTGCTACGGAAATAGATGGGGTCCCCTCATCCATCGCCATAATCGTCACCATCACCATCATTATCATCATTATCATAATATTAATAACCACCATCATTATCACCAGCATCATGAACATTGTTTATCATCACCATCATAATCACCAGCATCATTAACATTACTATTTTTGTCATCTTTAGCATTGATGGTGACGATGGAACGGATTTCTAGCGCAATGCAATGTGGCACTCAGGGATCATGAAGGACGCCATGGGTCAGGGGATACGGGGGCTCCGGGGGGAGGGGTCTCACCTCTGCAGAAGAATATCCCGACGAGGAGTAGCGCGAAAGTGTCATCTCATCCTCGCTGCGAACACAGTACAACACCTCGTCATTAACCACCACCTCACCACACGCAACGCCTACTCAGCACCTCCTCACTACTACCAACATGTACTAACCATACACAGTACCTCTTTAATACCTGCTTGCTACACAGAGCACCTCTTACTACTTCATTGAACACCACCTCCTCACAGCACACCTTGTCACACCTCGTCACAAACACCTACTCCGTGCCCCGTGTGTATGATCTGTAAGCTTGAGTGTGTGAGCTTGTGTCTGTATGTGTTCTCTGAGCTGTGTGTGCTTGCTTGAGTCTGTGTGAGCTGTGAAATGTATGTGTGTAATCTGTGAGTCTGAGTGAGTGTGTGAGCTTCAGTATGTGTGCGCTGGAAGTATGCGTGAGCCTGTGTGTCTGTATGAGCTGTGAACTGTATGTGTGAGCTTTGAGCTTGTGTGTATCTGTGGGCTGAGCCTGAGAGTGTTTGTATGTGTGTGAGCTGTACGTGTGTGGCTGTACGTGTGCGTAAGCTGTGAGTCTGTGCGTGAGCTTGACTGCGTGTGTTAGCTGCGATCCTGAAGCGTGTACGAGCTGTACGTGGGTGTGCGCGAGCTGTACTTGCGTGCATGCGGGCTGTATGTGTGTGCACGTGCGAGCTGGAAGCCAAAGATCGGCACCTGTCGGAGTCGATGGCCACCAGGGGTTTCTCGTCGGCCTCTGCTCCAGGGAGGCGTAGCCCTTGCTGGCGCACCCAGCCGCGTGCGCGCCCCCTTCTTGGGGCTGCTGGCTCACGGGGCTGCCCTCTCCCCGACGCGCCCCCTCACGCTTCCCGATCGCGCTGTTTGTCTGCTGCTACGGAAGGGGTGAGGGGGGTGGCGGAGGGGGCCCAGTGACCCGGTCACCTGTGTGACATGGTAACCCTCCACCGTGACCTCTTCATTGTCGCGATGTAATCATGACGACGGGGCGTGGGGAGGGGGGCAGTGTGCCTGTGACCAGCTGTGATTTTGTGACTGTAATCGTCAGCAACACCACCACCGTTGTCATGATTACCATCACGGTCATTATCCAGCATCATCTGTGACGTCTTAACCTGGTGGACCCCAAGACACCAGACACTTGTCCTGACCGCGCCACTGTTTGTCAGCGGCACTGGGTCGGTGGAGGGATCGCAGCCGTGAGCCGGTGACCTCGTGACCCGGCGAACCACTGCGGGCTGCCCTCACTCACCGGTACCCAGGGTCACCGGGGACGAGGTCGTGGTCGCCCCGTCCGCCACATCCCTGCCGCTGTCCGTGCTGCTCGCATCGCTCGAGTCCTGGCAAACACGGGGAGAGGGGAGGGGGGCGTACGGTGGCAGAAGACGGGTGAGACAGGGGGAGACAGACAGTGGACATGGGGACAGGGGGAGATAGAGAGAATAGTGGTCGGAGACGGGGGGGAGACAGGGAAAATAGTGGACACGGGGACAGAGAGTATCGTGGACACGGGGACAGGAACACACATAGGGATTCAGGGAGGCCGAAGAGCGTCTCGTGCTGAAAGCCACCCCGCCCCAAATCACTGCAGGGCTGCCGGGGGCCGCAGTTCAGGAAAGCCGTATAAAGCCTGCACTAGGCTCCCCGTTGAAGCTTCGCTCACGCAGCGGTGAGGCCCCGCGTCCCCCTGACGCCTACCGCCTCGCGCCTTCCCTAGGGGGGTGGGGGCGTTCGCATGCCGGGACCCCACGTCCCAGAGCTCGCCCCCGAGCCTCACCGATTCCGAGGTCTCCACCGCAAGTCCCGGCTCCTCCAGCCGCGCCGCCTCCTCCATCGCCATCGGTGAGCTCGGCCTCACGTGACCGCGCGGTGACGTCACGCAGAGAGAGAGAGTTCTCGTGATGACGTCACGCTCTGGCGGGAGATTCAAACTCCTCGCCCCCGCGCGCATCCCACCCCCTCACCCACGTTTACTCACAGATAAGAGTGATAATAATAATATAACGTTTATTTAAAATAAATTATCTCTATAACAAGGGGGTACAGTAAAAATATAACAATGATATTTAAATAAACAACTCATATGTACAAACGAAAAAATAAGGACACACGGCTGTTTTTATTGCCACTCCACTGCTGGATGAGAGGCCTCCAAACTCCCCACTCACGTGCGGTGTCATGGCGGTTATTTGACATACTTCACCATTTGCTGGTGAAGGCGCAGGCAGCATAGACGTTGTAGCATAGCACAGTACTGTACAACATTGGCGGTTGCCCCCAGCGTGGGCCCGTATGGTAAACGTGAAATCATTAACGTCTGTTGGCAACTTAAGCATGACAGAACCTTATAGCTATCGTATAGGGTACATAGTTGCGTAGGTAAGTCCTCGCTCAACACGTGGTTGCACAACGCGTGTTCGCTACAACGCGGTTCTTCCATTTGGGAAGACTTTTCGCACAACGCGGAACGCGCCCGTTATAAGGCGGAACGCGCCGGTTATAAGGTGGAACGCGCCGGTTATAAGGCGGAACGCGCCCGTTATAACGCGGAACGTGTCCGTTATAACGGGGTTTCTGAGCGGTCGATGACGAACTACTTTCTAGAGCTGCACGGCTGAACAGTCACGTGGCGGCGTACCCTCAAGTTATTTGGCCCGCCATCTCACTGTGTGTAGTACATCGTATCTCGCCCCAAACATTATCGCTACATTACTTATCGGGATTTTTTTTTCGCTAAACGCGTTTTTCGCTTAACGTGGCACTTTTCAGAAACGCATCTATCGCGTTCAACGAGGACTCACTGTACTCCACAACAACTGACCAGTGCTCTGATAAAAAAGATTGTAAAATAAAAAGAGGCCCCGTGGAGCCACCTGGAAACTCACAACAAAACAATGCTACTGTACTACACTATTGTTACACGTACAGTATCCAAGGCAATGCCACTACACGTGTGGGAGTTGCTATTGCTCACCATCGTAATCGGCCATGGCCAATCCACTGCTGAATTCAAGTCCTTCTCCCCCGCCCCTGCCCCCTCCCAAGCTACGAATCACTGGCTTACGAACAGGACTGCGGTCGGATTTGTTTGAAGTGACGTCGACGTTGATTTACACACAACACTTTGAGGACATTGCTACAGCTACTGATGAAGCAATTGCGAACGAATTTCACGGAGACATCGACCACAGCGCGCGTTATGGCGGACGAGTGATGACGACGGCGACGGTGGTGGCACGTGGTGTTGCGGTGAGCGCACAAAGACGCCGGGATGGTCACGTGTAGCACGGATGCGATACAGCTCCACGTTTACGATTGGTAAACATAACGAGGAGAGAACCCGCTGTTGCTCCGCAACAGAAATAAATGGAACAGCTGTGATGTGTATACTCTGCTCACAATCATCCTGTACTCTCAGCACTGCGAGTAAGCTGCGTTTTTTTAATCTAATAAAATAATGTCAAGATAATATGCATTGTGAGTTTTATTTTTTCTCGGATTTTAGAATATTCTGGCGAAATATGAACATGAATAATTAAATGGAAAAGTTAGACCATTTAAAAAAAAACGTGTGCTTCGTCTTCCGTATTTGTTATTCCCATCTCTTCAGTGGGGAGGGGAGATGGCAGAATAGATGAAGAGAAGAGATAGAGCTGTAGCGAGATGAGAGGAGATCCAGGCGAGACGGATGGAGTGAAATGAGAAGAAGGATGCAGACATGATACAGAGGAGAGATTAATTCGCTGTTTATGTTGATTATCTTGTTATGTTTATTTTGATTAGAATTTCATCTGATCATTGAAGCACTTCTACATTTCATAAAACCATATCCCCTTGAGCTAATTGGGACCCTACACTTGTACTTGGGTTTAGCGTACCTAGCGCCACCGTTGCTAGGAAGCTCACATCATCCTCATGACGAAGTGACGAGGGGGAGCCCGGCTGGGGCTCCTGGCCCCCCCCCTCGATCTGCGGGTCCCCCCGTACTCTAGCTCCGTTCGCTGCCTCGTCCTCCTCCTCCTCTTGTGGCCCCAACTCCGCGTTCCCGCGGCGAGGACCAGGAGGCAGAGAATCACGACGCCGAGGAAGGTGAGGCCCCCCAGCCCCGCGGACACCAGCAGCAAGGGGGTCAGCGGGGTCAGCGGGGTCCCGGCGGGCTCGCGCGCCTCCCCGCGCGTCCCCGTCGCGTTGAAATCCTCGGAGTCTGCGGGATCGACGCCATCCCAGGGGTCCGCTGGGTCCCAAGCGTCCGAGTCGGAGGGGTCGGAGAGGGACGGCGGCGGGACCCCCCCGGGCCCCGACACTACGAGGGGCACCGCGCGGAGGTGGCGGCCCGCGGCGCTGGAGGCCACGCACGTGTACGAGCCGCGGTCCCTCGCGCGCGCCGACACGAGGAGCAGCGAGCCATCCCGCAGCACGCGGAGCCGGGGCCCGCGCTCTCGATCATCATCATCATCATCACCCCCCTGCTTCCCCCCCTCCTCATCACCACCTCCTCTCTGCTCCCTGGTGTCTCCCTGTTCTCCATTCGCTATTGGCTCTTTCGTCCCCTCTTCCCCATCTTCTTCCTCCTTCTCCTCCTCCTCCTTATCCTCCTCTTCCTCCTCCCCGCCATTCTCGCTCTGCTCTCCTGCCTCCCCCTGCTGTTCACCCCCCTCATCGTCTTCATCCCCCTCGTGCTCGTACCAGCGGCCCCGGGGGTCCCTCCACGCGAGGCTGGGGGACGGGTCCCCTCTCGCGCTGCACGGGATGCGCACGGCGCCCCCTTCGCGCACCGCCACGGGCCCCGCGCGCAGCCTCACGCTCGGCGCCCTGCACCGCAGCGGGGCGCTCAGCACCCGCGCCCCCCGCGCCTCGGGGGGCGCCGCGCAGGGGGGGCCCTCGCCGCCCCCCAGCAGCGCCTCGGGACTCGGCCGGGTGCGCAGCCACAGGAGGCGACAGTCGCACGCGATGGGGTTTCCGTCGAGGCACAGGGCACGCAGGGCGAGCGGGGCGCCGGCGCGCTCGGGCAGGGAGTCCAGGGCGTTCTCTGAGAGGTCGAGGTCGCGGAGCGCCGAGAGGCCGCGCAGGGCGCCCGGCTCCACGCGCCGCAGCCCCGCGCCCGACAGCCGCAGCACGCGCAGGCGCGGGACGCCCCGCAGGCAGCGAGGGCCCAGCACGCGCAGGGAGTTGCCCGACGCGTCCAGCTCGGACAGCGCGGGCAGCCGGGTGAGGGCGCTGCTCGGCAGGGCGCGCAGCCCCGCGCGGCGCAGCGACAGTGAGCGCAGGGCGCCCAGACCCTCAAAGGCGCCCTGCGCCACCCACAGCAGGGAGTTCTCGGACAAATCGAGGCTGCTCAGGGCGCCCAGGCCCGAGAAGGCGCCGCGCGGCACGGCGCGCATGCGATTGCCGCTCAGGTCCAGCCGCTGCAGGGCGCCGAGAGCCGCGAAGGCTCTGCTCGGGAGCACCTCGATGCGGTTACAGCGCAGCGACAGGGAGCGCAGGGCGCCGAGCCCCGCGAAGGAGCCCGGCTCCAGCGCGCCCAGCGCGTTCTCGCTCAGGTCTAATTCCTCCAGGGCAGCCCAGGCCGCGAGGTCCCCGGCGCCCAGCCGCGCCACGTGGTTTCGCGCCAGGTCCAGGGAGCGCGCGGACCCCGGCGCGAACCCGGGCACGGCGAGGAGGCGGCGGCGCGCGCACAGCACAGAGCCCGAGGTCGGGGGGCAGTCGCAGCGCGGGGGGCACTGCAGGGCTACCGAGGTGCCCGGCAGCAGCAGCACAAGTAGCAGCAGCAGCAGCAGGGAGGTGCGTAGCGACACCTACAGCAGGCAGCAAGGGAGGGGGGGGGGGTGAGACGGACGCACGGTCACTTCCAGGGGTCGACGACCTGTGCCTCTTTGGCTTCCTCCTTGCGCGCAGCCGTTTAACAACAACACAAAACAAACTTCAACCTTAAACATCATTTTACGTCACGACGATTTATTAAATACGGCAGGGAATGTTTGGCTATGGAATGTATCGGTGACAACAAAATGTACAACAGTCAAACTGTACTGTTAAAGAATAACTAAATGCAGGAAAAAATAACTAAATAGACGCATTTTAGTCCATCACTATTTTGTTTATTTAAGTCAGAATGTGTTGTTGTTGTCATCTTGCTGTATACCCGCTGCTGTGTTTGTGTACACGTAGCTCTGCCTGTGATGCGGTTCTCGAACTATTTTGGTCAAAGTCCAAAACCAAAAGAAATATCTCTCCTGCTTCTTCGTCTTCCTCGTCTCCTTTGGCTGCGTCCAAAGGACGTGTGTGGGTTGAACTTCTTTCTCACCGTACGTAGCCAACCACGCTAATCGGAGGTACCGGGGAAGGACAACAAACTGACATACTAAAATAAAAAGCAGTGCGGGTTGAAAGTCCATATTTATAATCCTGTTTGATTAATTATGGGATGAATACAGAGGACGATAATAGAGGAAGTGGTATGGAAAGTCGTGCCCTGTACTCCAGTGGTAGTGCCTTACGCCATAATCCCTTCTCCTAGCCAGCCTAGCAGGGTTCCGGAAAATATCGAGTCAGAAATGAATGCCTAAGCAAGAGTGAGGGATTGGGATGAGGAAGTGAGGTGATGGTGAAGGGGTGTGGGGAGTGGGGTGATGGTGAAGGGGTGAGAGAGTGGGGTGATGGCGAAGGGGTGAGGGAGTGGGGTGATGGTGAAGGGGTGAGGGGAGTGGGGTGATGGTGAAGGGGTGAGGGAGTGGGGTGATGGTGAAGGGGTGAGTATATGGGTCTTTCTGTGAGCCTACGGGTCTCTCTGAGTCAACGGGTCTCTCTGTGAGTATATGGACTCTCTGTGAGTCTATGGGTCTCTCTGTGAGTCTTTGGGTCTCTCAGTGAGTATATGGGTCTCTCTGTGATTCTATGGGTCTCTCTGAGTCAACGGGTCTTTCTGTGAGTCGACGGGTCTCTCTGTGAGTCTACGGGTCTCTATGCGAGTCAACGGGTCTCTCTGTGAGTCAACGGGTCTCTCTGTGAGTCTATGGGACTCTCAGTGAGTCTATAGGTCTCTCTGTGAGTCTATGGGACTCTCTGTTAGTCTATGGGACTCTCTGTGAGTCTATGGGTCTCTCTGTGAGTCTATGGGTCTCTCTGTGAGTCTATGGGTCTCTCTGTGAGTCTATGGGTCTCTCTGTGAGTCTATGGGTCTCTCTGTGAGTCTATGGTCCTCTCAGTGAGTTTATGGGTCTCTTTGTGAGCCTATGGGACTCTCAGTAAGTCTATGGGTCTCTCTGTGAGTCTATGGGACTCTCAGTGAGTCTATGGGACTCACAGTGAGTCTATGGGTCTCTCTGTGAGTCTATAGGTCTCTCTGTGAGTCGATGGGTCTCTCTGTGTGTCTATGGGTCTCTCTGTGAGTCGATGGGTCTCTCTGTGAGTCTATGGGACTCTCTGTGAGTCTATGGGACTCTCTGTGAGTCTATGGGTCTCTCTGTGTCTATGAGACTCTCAGTGAGTCTATGAGTTTCTCTGTGAGTCTATGGGGCTCTCTGTGAGTCTATGGGTCTCTCTGTGAGTCTTTGGGTCTCTCAGTGAGTCTATGGGTCTCTCTGTAAGTATATGGGTCTCTCAGTGAGTCTATGGGACTCTCAGTGAGTCTATGGGACTCTCTGTGAGTCTATGGGTCTCTCTGTGAGCCTACGGGTCTCTGCGTGAGTCTGTGTTGAGCAGGTGTCTCTCACCCCCCCTCCCATACCCCCCATCTGCACTCCCCCCTCACCTGCATCCAGCAGCAGCAGCAGCTCCGGGCTCCCGGAGCCTTGAGGGGGAGGGGGGAGAGACGCCATCACTCCCCGCCTCCAGCTCTGGGAACCCGGGGGGAAGGAGGAGGTGGGGGGGAGGAGGTGGGGGGGGAGGAGGTGGGGGGGAGGAGGTGGGGGGAGGAGGTGGGGGGAGGAGGTGGGGGTGAGGAGGGTAAGAGGGAGGAGAAGGTCTAGGAATGGAGGAGGGTGGTGGAGGGAAGAGGAATTGATGGGGATTGTGGAGGGGGAGAGTGAGAGAAGAGAGGAAGAGAAGGGCAGCATGAGAGATGAGGAGGAGGAGGATGCGCGCCCCCTCTGCTATGCGCGCCGCGATGCCGGCAGTGACCTTGGTGGTGAAGGGGAGGGAAGCTTCGCCTGGGAGGTGAGGGGGAGGGGCCGTGAGGGGAGGAGGGTGGGGGGGGGGGGTAACGAGAGAGGTAACGGGAGAGATCAGGGGTAACGTCAGGGGTAACGTCAGGGGTAACGGCTGTCGTGGAGGCGGGAGGGAGACGTCGTCTCTGACAGCGGCGACTGCCGTCTCCTGCAAATCTCCCTCCTCGCTACTCTCCCGTCTCCCGCTACTCTCCCGTCTCCCGCTACTCTCCCGTCTCCCGCTGTGTTCTAAACCGAGTGAGTGGGGGGCGGGTGTTGAGGGGGCAGTAAGATGCCCTGGGAGGAGCAGAGACGTTCACGCGTGCTCACCCACGCGCAGGTGAGCACGGACAGGTGTCTGTGTGTCTCTGTGTGCGTATCTGTGTGTGTGTGTGTCTGTGTGTCTCTGTGTGCGTATCTGTGTGTGTGTCTCTGTGTGTGTGTCTCTGTGTGCGTATCTGTGTGTGTCTCTGTGTGTCTCTGTGTGCGTATCTGTGTGTGTGTCTCTGTGTGTGTGTCTGTGTGTCTCTGTGTCTCTGTGTGCGTGTCTGTGTGTGTGTGTGTCTATGTCTGTATGTCTGTGTGTCTGTGTGTGCGCGCTAACAGAGGCAAAGATCCCCCGTATAGCCTTAATAGACTGTAGGGGGCAAGTGCTGTTAGCGAGCACCTATGACGGCCGGCACGGCACACGAGGGGGTGGGTGGCCAACACCACGCCCGGCCGCCTTTGTCTCCCTAGTGGCGATGTTAACACACCGCACCAGATACTCATTTGAGTTGGAGTCGACCTAGGGAAGGCCCAGGACCGGTTCAGATAATCGTCATTGGTGTTGGCCGTGAGCGGGAATCGAACTCGGGTCGCCAGGTTCGGAGCGCAGGGCGCTCACCACTCCACTACCGCTCTACACACACATACACGGGTACACACACACGGGTACACACACAGGTACACACACACACAGGTACACACACACACGGGTACACACACACACACACGGGTACACACACACACACGGGTACACACACACGGGTACACACACACACACGGGTACACACACACACACACGGTTATACACAAACACACACACAGGTACACACACACAGGTACACACACACAGGTACACACACACACAGGCACACACACACGGGTACACACACACACGGGTACACACACACACACACATAGGTACACACACAGGTACACACACACAGGTACACACACACAGGTACACACACACGGGTACACACACACACAGGTACACACACACACAGGTACACACACAGGTACACACACACACGGGTACACACACGCGCACCTACGCAAGGTGGCAGTTGCCAGGCAAAGCGGTGACCCTTGGGACCCCTCGTGCGAGAAGTGCGTGGAGGGGGGGGGGGGTAACGGGGTGTGGGGGGAGGGGGGCGGTTAACAGGGTAACGAGGTGCGGGGAGGGGTAACGAGGAAAGGGGACCGGGTACCGGGGTGAGAGGCAACGGGGTGAGGAGGTAACAGGGTGAGGAGGTAACAGGGTGAGGAGGTAACGGGGTGAGGATGACTCCGTGTGAGGGAGTGTGGCTCGTGGCCCAAGAGGCATCCTCATCATCATCCTATCTCCTCCTCCCCTCACCTCCTCTCTCCCCTCACCTCCTCTCTCTCTCCCCGTGTCTCTCGACCGATCATGAAGACCGTGATCGGCACTAGCATCGTCATCAGTAGCAGCACCATCATCATCAGCAGCATTATAACCATAACATCACCATCAGCACCATCACCATCAGCAGCAATATAACCACACCATCGTCAGTGCCATCATCATCATCTGCAGCATTATTACATCATAATCAGGACCACCACCACCATCATCCGCATTATAACCACGACATCATCATCAGCACCACCATCAACATCAGCAGCATTATAACCCCGACACCATCATCAGCACCACCATCATCATCAGCAGCAGCATTATAGCCATGATATCATCATCTGCACCATCATCATGATCATCGTCAGCAACATTGAAACGACGACATCATCATCAGCACCATGAACATCAGCAGAATTCTAACCATGACCTAATCAGCATCATCATCAGCATTATAACCACGACATCATCAACATCATCAGCATCATCATCAGCACCATCATCATGATCATCAGCAACATTGAAACGACGACATCATCATCAGCACCATGAACATCAGCATAATTCTAACCATGACCTAATCAGCGTCATCATCAGCATTATAACCACATCATCAACATCATCAGCATCATCATCAGCACCATCATGATGATCAGCAGCAGCAACATTGAAACGACGACATCATCATCAGCACCATGAACATCAGCAGAATTCTAACCATGACCTAATCAGCATCATCATCAGCATTATAACCACGACATCATCAACATCATCAGCATCATCATCAGCAGTATACGCACCGTCTATGTTCGGTAGTAGGCGATCGTTAAATAAACCGAGTTGCATGACTGTACAATGAACTGTCGGTTATTTATAACTTCACTTACAATTGACATATCGTATAATCCTGTGTCTGTTTACATCTTGGAACAATCGTCACCATAGACCTGCACTTTCCATTGACTTACACTGCCCATATATTAACATTGCACATGAACTAGCATTTTTCATAGACTAACACTCCACATAGACTAACATTGCCCATAGACTGACACTGCCTATAGACTGACATTGCCCATGGATTATCATAGTCCATAGACTAACACTGCCCACAGGCTAACATTGCCCAGACTAACATTGCCCATTTGACTAGTCCATAACCCTCTGTCTACACATTCGTAGAAAAGTCGCACTCGACAAATGGTCAATGTTTCTGTAACTTCATTTTGTAATTGTCCCGTGATCGGGTTAACAATTATCTATGGGAGCCGTCTCACGCTCCACGCAATTAGTTCTGTAACCTTGATTTACCTTTGTGCAACATTCCCCATATCTTGAGTTCACACCCGGGTTAAACAATAGACTGCTTCTAACTTGAGCTCACCAACTCACCCACCCACTCACCCACCCACTCACCCACTCACGCATTAATTAATTAATTCCCCGCTCACTCACCCACTCATTCACCAGAGTCACTCTTGCAAATGAGACTCCAATCATGGTCTCCACTTGAGTTCACACCCTGGTTCAACAATAAACTACTTGAGCCTCATCAGGCAGGGCTTACGCCTGGAATTGAATCGGGGGCGGGGAGGCCAGTCGTCAGCACGGATGTCTGGGGGAGATTTCGCCGTTCAGATCTGTACATGACGAGAGCCTCCTTCAAGCAAACCCGCAGGGTTTCGAACAAGACTCGAAATTGCGCGACAAGCCCATGCAGCCTTTACACGTGAATGCAAAGGCCCATCAACAGCTCCTGATGGCAAGTGCGTTGTGATTTTGACCTCTTGTTTTAGGTCGCCATCAACGTGTGACCGAATGGCAGCGGCAGGAGCAGCAGCGATGCAGTGATCGAGAACTGTGGACCGGTTTCACCATAATTAGCACTCATCATCATCAGCAGCAGCAGTATCGTCACCAACGCCCAGTAAGGGGCCATCCATTTAGTAGGTTGGCAAACATCTGTCAAAACTTGACCCCTCTCCCCCTCCCTGTACGCACGCGGACTTTTTACACCCTCCCCCCCCCACCACCTGCGTACGTTCGCTTGACGCACCTCCCCCCCCCCCCCCGAATCCTATAGAACGGCCGATATTTAATCCACGCAGAAACAATCAAGGATTAATAATATTAACGTGTTTAAGCAAACAGATGGTCCACCGCCGGACTATCTAACTCATTTGAAGGCAAATGCAGACAAATTATTATCGAGGATTCACCCCCCCCCCCTGTTTCCTATGCGAACGTTGTGAGTAGACCCCCAATACGCAAGCGTACGTATTTGGGTTAACCCCCCCTCCCCCTCCATGCGTACGTACTAAATGGATGGCCCCTAAACATGCAACGTTGGAACAGCATTGTCTAATGGTTCTAACGACAATGTCGCTGTTAGTCGGCCACATTCGCTCACATGCATGTTGATGAAATGAGCTGAGAAAAGAGGCCCGATTAAAATGCAGTTCTTTAGGAGCTGTTGATGTTTTTTTTTCTACATAGCGCACAAATGCCGCGTGGGCTTGTCGCACCTTTCTGAGTCTTGTCTTGAAGCTTATGGAATTGACGTTCCAGACTACGGTCGAGGGGAAATGGATATATCACGTATTGATAGACTGGTGTCACGGTGGCTAGGAGATGTTAACTATCTCGCCTGGCATGCAGGAGGTTGTGGGTTCGATCCCTACCCTGACGCCTGCTGCTGTATATTTGGGTTTTCCCTCCACATTTAGAATCAACATTACGCGTTTAGATTATTTGACCGTTTTAAATGTCCGCGTGATAAGCCACACTTCGTTGAGCCGTCATTTGTGACAGCCAGGTCGCTTCTGAAAAACAAGCTATATAGCTGAGTGGGCCTTACCTGGTAAAAATAAAATAAATTAGTTGAATTTGGAAGAGGCATGGCATTGTATAGTTCCACAAAGGGTTTAATTTCAGCTGGCGGTTCTGTCCGGGCTCAGCGAAAATGATCGA